CCTTCCTCTACTGGATTCAATGCATTTATGATTTAGTAACCTGATAGCTAATAAAAAGCATCTGATAACGTTTTTCATAGTCTATTAATTATCACACAGTTCAATTGTGGCAAGTTTCCTAACACAATAAATAATTGGATAGAATAAAGACCAGTTGTTTGTTCTGGCTTCAGCCGAAGTAACAGTTTCCTGACCCACCACTAATTTATCAAATATCCTTTTATTATTTTTAAACAACAGAAGCATAAGACAAACAAATTATATCTAATAAATGGTGCAGGTAACAAAAAAAAATCTGTAAGTCTCTGCCATCTGAGATTTCTCTAAGATTATTGCTTATTTTCCTGGAAAAGCCCAAGGGTATCCTGCTCAGGAATAACCTCTATACCCTGTGGGACCCTGAACTGACTCTATCTCAACTCCACCCATGGGTAACAGCTTAACATTGTGCTCAAATGAGTTACTGAAAATTTTTCCTTATTTTCCTCTTCCCATTCCTAATCAGCTGCAGGACACCTATTGCAATGGCTGCTTAATTCTCTTTGGATGTTTGTGAAAAAGAATGGCTCGTATCAGTACACACACTGTCACTTCTAAATATCGCTTTATCAATTCGACTTCACCTTCTTCCTCTGCTACTAATTCCAATTACTGCTAATTTTGCCTCCTCTCTTTCCAGATAACAGAACTTGCTTCAGCAAACACATATTCACTGTCGCCCTGAAAACTCAGCTTCTGAGCTTGCTGACATAGTTTTCTAAGACTTTCCCAGGACAGTAACTATAAACATAGAGATAGGTATACATCCCTTCAGTTACACATCTTGAGATGGACATCTCTCATGGCCAGTGCAGTGGGAAAGCGCTATCTTGACCATCCAATCCCTGGCCATGGTTAGAAACCTATAAATCCTGGGAGGAAAAATAAACTTTCTCTTCCTTTCACCACACCTCGAGCTGTGTCCTTGTGATCTATTTCATATCCAGCCGCAACAATTCACATCACAAAATTTTCCATGAACAGCAGAATTAATGAAGCCTGGTTTCATAGGGATTTATGTTGCTGATTCCCAAGTTCCATGCTCATACCATGTCTGCCACAATACCTTCACTGTGCAAAACCAGCACTTTAAATAGCCAGTGTGAGCCATAACACCTGCTGCTTGGCTCAGCACTCTACATCCATTGCACAGTCAGTCAAATACCAAGATCTATGGTTGTTGTCAAGAAGAATGCATTGCATTCCTTCGTCTGAGTGGAAAATATTTCTTAAAATACTTTAAAATTAAAATAAAGGGCGCTCCAATGGAGTTCTTTGTTTCTCGTAACTGTGAATTTAGAAAGAATGGTTTGTCAAGGAAAAGAAAAATGGGCATGCATTTGAAATGACTGCTGGAGAGATAAGAATTATGCCCCTAGAAGATCAAATGTGTATTTTTACTCTAAATGTATATGAGAATATCACTAAACTTCCTGACAGATTAACGGGATGTATAGAAGTGAAATTATCACAAATGAGCACTTTTTAATTTTATGTCTTTTGGGGCTGTGTATGTGTTTGCTTTTACCTTTGGAAGGTGAGCACAGCTAGTGCTTTTAATCACTGAGGGATGTTCTGGTTAGACATAACTTCTCTGTGTCTGTGATTTCTCTTTACTGACAATATTTAAAGAAAATGTGGTACAATGACTGTGGTATTGAATCAAAGGAGCAGGCATTTCAGTCTAAGTGAGGTGAAAATCCTGTACCTACTTCTCCAAGGATGGCAAAACCATATGGAGCACTACTGCACATGCACATGACGGCACAATAACCCTGTGGCACAAGTAAGTGATAGCTAGGAAAACAAACAAGCAAACAAACAAGCAAGCAAAAGGCTGTGGAAATTTGTCTCATGGTGTGTGCACTTGTTTATCTTGTCAGGACCTCTTCTGACAGAAAGGCACATGACCAGCTCTTGGGCTGAGAATGTGAAGGGCCAAGGGGGAAGTTACAAGACAGTTCACATATTAGCCAATTAATTTTTTCTCCAATGTGTAACACTTCAAGAAAAGGACAAATTTGAGCAAGCTGGTAATGTTTTGGTGGTGATAGACTATATTGGCTGCACAATGAGAACTCCTCCTGCCAGGAGCCATGTACCAGGTTCTAGTGGCAGAGGCATCAGGTATGCCAGGAGCAGCTCTCATAAGTGGAATTATATTTACTTTATCCATACAGAGCTGGCTTAATTTTTATTCATTGATTTCCCCTTTCATGTTTTTTCCAGTTTCTGAAGTATTGTCATAAAACACCCACAATCTTATCAAGCCCTGTTCATGTGACAGCCACCTTGAATATGCTGTCAGCCTTCGATACCACTGCTCAGAACACCTAAACTCAAGGCTGGTGGTGCCTTGTTCTTACTTAATTTTGCATAAAATATCATTTCAATAACAAAATCATGTAGGTTGGAAAAAACTGTTACATCACCCAATCTGTTATTGAAATATTGCTAAGTCCGCCACTAAAACCTGTCTCTAAGTGTAACTTCTTTCATCCAGGGATAGTGACTCAACCTCTTTGCTGGGAATCCATGTTCTAATGTTTGGCAACTGCACTCATGTAGAAATTTTTCGTAATAGCTGATCTAAACTTCCCCTGCCACAATGTGAGGCTGTTCCTTGTCATCCTTCCATTATGTGCCAGAAAATGCATTATGTGTTAGAAAATACCATGCAAGCATGTCACCATTTCAAGAGGTTAAAATCCACGTGCCAGTGTGTGTGCTCAATACTTGAGTCAAGGCAGTTAAGTGCTTGTTCGTTGTAAAAAGCTTGCTATTGCACTGAATTAAGCACAAAGGTCAGTCTGTGAGGGTCATTTTCTATACAAAGACAGTGTAGTTTCACAATCCATTCTCTTCAATCTTAGCACGGCTGGGAGGAGATGTTAGTTCTCTACCCCAGGCTGACCCTACACCCCACAGCACCACCTCACCACCTCTGGGAACATCATGATTTCTGAGGCTGGAACAGTGAGGTGGTTTCTTCAGCATCCATTGCTAGCTTGTGATCTCCTCTCTCCTTGTTACTCATTCTTTCCCACATAGCGAATTGTGCTGTCTCCTGAGTTTTGCCAGTGCGGATAGCAGATGGCAAGAAAATCAATTTCTCCACCCCTCTTCATAGGGAATGATCTAATGCTTGGGACAGGAAATAAAGGTGAGGGAGCAGCTGAACTTTTTCAGAGAGGTATTTGAAAGGGGAAGCATAACGGCTCTGGCAGCTAGCTCTGTTTCCTTCTTCCTGTCTCCTTGAAAGCCTGAAAAGACGTGTGAATGCCAAATATCCATCAAGGCGCCTCCATTTTAGATCTGGAAAAAACATTATTTGCAAAATCACTAACAAGAGCTTAAATAGCTATTACATCCTCATCACAGCTGCAGAGGCACATAGAAAGAGGGGTTTTCTGTGTCCCTCTACTCATCTGGCCCAGGGTGGGCCAGACTTAACTTTGAAAACTTCAGGTGTAGAATTACCTGACATTGGGATACTGGATGGGAGACAGGAACAGAAAGGTGGCAAAAACTGCAGTCTCCATCCTGCTCAGAAAACTTCAATTTTTTGAAGTGCATATTGTGAGAAACAAACCTCACTTTTCAAAAATTTTTAAAAGTTTACTAAGGGATAATAAGGGACAAATCAGTAACAGCCCTGGGTGCTTGGTGACAGCCAAAGGCACATCCACTAACTATAGTAATGCTTCTTATTTACCCTTTTTATTGCATTTTTCAAATACATATTCATAAATGATTATACATATTCAAACATTTCTTCAAACTACTTTACAAGTTCCAGCAACTTTTTAGCATGGCCTCTCCTCTGATTTTTAGAGCATGTGCAATAATCTTGGTTTTGAGGGCGGTGTGTTACCCCCTCACCTCACTGACCCCTATTCAGTGGTTTCAGAAGTGACAATTACTGATAATTGAAGTGTCAGTAGCACGGGTCCCCACTGAGCTCTTTCCTCAAATGTTATTTCAGTTATTGTAAGTTAAGCACAAGTACTTTAAACTAACACCAGCTATTTCACAAATATATCCAAGTTATTTTCATTATTGTCAGTTACAAAACTGATTTTTAATTTTTGTTATTTACAAAAATAAAAACATTAGTTATAATTGCACAACTACAGCTACTTCTGCAGAAGTTAACATTATAGTCTAATGCACAACACATAGCATTCACTGTAATATTTGCGGAAGAGAAAACTTTAATATGTGTTTATCACACTGTCCACAAATTAAAGCACCATCCATAAATGGTGTTCTAAGGACATGAACTACACAGGGGCCACGGCATCAGCCACAAAAAGCTGACAAATTATATCAAAAGAAGTAAAAAAGTGATTACAAACTGTACTATATCAAAATCGTTGTGATTAATAACAATTTGCAAAAGAGAATACATAATAGTGAAAACAACCAACTACATGGGTATTTATAACACATATGCATCTAGGTTATTTCCATGAATAAAGCCTCTCAGCCTAAGTTAGGATTCCTCTACTTGTTTGAGTTCAGTATACTGTTTCTGAAACACTCCACAGGGTGAACACTTCGTGTTTAAGAAGCGGGGAGAGAGCACAAGTGGCAGCATGACGAGCTGCACGGTGTTTTCCCAGCAGCTGGGGCTGACAGGTACGGCCCAGCACCAGCACTGAAGCACAGCATTAACAAAGCCAGCGCGGGCATCGCGGCGCACACACATCTCCCCACTGCTGGGGCCGCCGCCAAGCCACGGTTCCGCAGCTCCCCGCTCCTCCCCTTCCCCCGGCGTCCGTCAGGCGCCCCTCAGGCACTGCGCGGCGGTGACCTGTCGGCCCCCGCGCTATCACTGCCGGCCACCCCGCCCCGCCACCGCCCGCCACCGCCCGCCCCCGCACGATCACTGCCGGCCATCCCGCCCCTTCCCGGCCGGCGCAGGCGCCGCAGCGGGGCGGGCCGGGCTGGACCGGGGGGTAGGCGCGGGGAGCGCGGCGGGGCTGTGTGCTCCCGGGGCTGTGTGTGTCCCACAGCCGTGTGTGTCCCACAGCCGGGCGCTATGTGGGTGCCGCTGTCCCTGCTGGCCCTCGCGGCGCAGCTGGCGCCTCACCGGAGCGCGGCTTCCCAGGGGGAGCAGCCGCCCGCAGGTAATGGGCGGGGCGAGACGGGGGGATGAGGCGGCCAGGCCAGGCCGACCGGCTGATGGGCACACGGGTCACCTGAGGGGTGGCGGCACCGGCACCGGGCGTGCCGCGTCCTGTCCCGGATTCCTCCGGGACCGAGCGCCGCCGGTGGGGCCGCCAGCCCCGCGGCGGGCACCGGGAGCCGCCGGGGCAGTGCGGGCGCCGGGAGCCGCCGGGGAGGAGCCCCCGCTGGTGCCCGGGGCTGTGCCGCGCTGTGAGGCGCCCCGGGCCCGGCCGAGCCCGGTCGGGTGCGGGGTTCAGCCCGGCGCCGCGGCCGTGTCGTGGCGCGCCGGCGGCGCGCTGGTGACATCAGCCCCCGTTAGGATGTTCGCGCATTTCGGCACTCCAAAGCCAGAGCGGCGTGTGCGCCGGACGGGCCTGCTCCGCTGTGCTGTATGGCTTCGTGTGGCCAAAGAAATAGAGAAACCGGGGATCTCGGTGCGAAAATGGGGAGCACGGGGCTGGGGGGTGTGAAGAAGGTATCGGGATCGCGGCCTGAAGCACGCACATTTTGGCCAGGCACCCCTGGGGAGGAGGGGTGTCTTGCCAGCGGAGAGCAGCGTTGTGTCTCTGCATAGAGTTTTGGCAAGTAAATTACGAAAGAAATAGTCAGGCTTACTAGTTTAATTTTAAACTGGAAAAGTTCATTAAAAACAGAGATTGCTGTCTAATAGTCAAAAAGGAACATACGTTTAATTTTTATTGAGACTACTGAGAGCTGGCTTTTTGTCCAGACTCCTTGAATTCTGCAAATGGAGATTTCTGGAGTTCAGATCCATGCCTGGGTGAAGTGACTGAATTTGACTACCCCAAGCATGGGCCACACCATGCTTTGGAAGTCTGCTTAGCTTTGGCTGGTATGGACGAGCAGTGCTAAAAGTGGCAAATCTGCCTGCATTCTTATCACTTAATAGTTGGCATTTTGAGTATCCAGTTTGTTTGATTTGGTGTCTGCTTGTAACTGGTAAACCTTGCAGTGAAAAATATCTTTTTTCCGCATTGGGTCAGTAAGGTGGCTTGATATCTTAAATATTGTCTTGTTTGTTCTTAGTCTCTTTTAAGGACTTGCTTTAATTGCTAGTAAAATATGCCACTTCTACATTGTATTAAGCATTTTTAGGGCAGAAAACCACAATACCAGTAAATCACTTGTGAAACAAACCTGCTATAACCCAGCCTGGTCCAGCACAACAGTTATTGTTGCATCTGTTTGCATAGAGAATATTGTATCTGTAAGCATAGAGAGTAGTGCTGTGGCAAAGATGATGTAGCAAGCTGCCTAGAAGCAGGAAGCTCACTTTTCTGCATGCGAGTGCAGCAAATCCTAGCTCATAGGAGCAGAATGTATTTTTGAGTTAGGTTTTGAAAACTCCAGCAGCATTTTCTTGATGACTTGCGCTCAGCTTGGTCACAGCCACTATAAGTAAAAACTTATTTTTTTAGTGAACAAAAGCATCATGAAGGGAATTCTAATTGACAGTTCTGTGTATTAGTTGAATAAAAATGCTGGGTTTATAAGTAATGACTAATAGCATGTGCTCACTTCATTATAATATTGATGCAGGCAGATGTGCTGACCTACAGGGGAAGAATTAAAGTAGAAGGGGAAGTCTGAAACATGTGTATGATGCCGTCACGTACAGAATAGCAGAATGAGTCAGGTTGGAAGTGACCACAGTGGTCGTCTGGTCCAGCCTTCCTGCTCAATCATGGTCATCCTAGAGCATGTGGCACAGGATTACCTCCAGATGGTTTCTGAGTAACTCCAGTGAAGGAGACTCCATAGCCTCTCTGGGCAATCTGTTCCAGTGCTTGGTCACTCACATGGTAAAAACGTCCTTCCTCATATTCAGGCGGAATTTTCTGTGTGTTAGTTTCTGCCCACTGGCTCTTGTTCTATTGCTTGGCACCAGTGTCTTCTTGGCACTTCTCCTTTAGATACTTGTAGATATTGATGGGGTCCCCTCTCAGCCATCTCCTCGTGAGACCGAACAGGCCCAGCCCCCTCAGGCTTTCCTCATAACAGAGATGCCCCAATTCCTTGATCCGTTTTGTAGCTCTCTGCTGGACCTGCTCCACAAACTCCATGTCTCTCTTGTACTGAGTCCAGAATTTCCATGGCAACAGTTGTATGATTTTTTTTTCTTCCTTAAGTCTTACAGGGCTTTCAGTGTGCCAGTAGAATAATACATATATCAGGGAGTTGTCAAGTAATCAAGTGTGTTAGGAGGAAATGTTCAGTCATCTTCATCTTCCAATGTAGGATACTGCTTTCCTTAGAAAAGGAATGAAGCCAGACAAGCCAGCAGCAACTGGAACATTCCCTGCATTTCCTACAGCTGGGTGCCTAATGTGTCTGCATTGATAGGCCTCTGACTCCACAGTGGAGCTGGGCACTTGCTGATGGGAACTCTCAGTCTGTATTTTAGTATTACAGAAGACAAGGTCTGTGGTCAAGGTGAAGAAGATTTAGAGGCTGTGGTAGCAGTTCAGGTGCTTCCTGCACATTGTAAGCCACATTTCTAAGAATGTCTGTAGTTCATTTAGGCAGCTGACTTCCTACTGTTTGTGATAATCATGGTGGTCTTGAGTTGTTGTTTACAGTTCAGATTATTGACATTCATAGCAATTGACTCAAGCTGCAAATAAATTAGATGGTAGAAAGTGTTGTATTTAGATACCATCTATTACAACACTTCTCATCTATAACAAAAGGGATGAACACTCAAAATAGATAAAACAATATTTATTATTGTTGTAATTATTGTTGTATTATTTAATCTGTTCTTTTAAGTGTCCTCCTTGTGCAACTTGCTGTGGTTCTTCTCGAGATGGTGATCTCAGTCTACCTCTCCTCTTACTACAGCTTACAACCTTGTGGAGATTTTTATCATAAACAATGATTTTAAAAACTCCATAGAGCAATGTCAAACCTCTGAGCCCTTAGAAAATTAAATTCTGTTGTAAGTAGAATCTGTAAAAATGCTTTGTATACTGTGTATAATGTTTATTCATGATACTTGGAAAATCATTTAAGTTCATTTCAGTTAATGATTTAAAAATTATTAGCTTTAAATATTACACCAGTCATGGTACTCATTTAATTTGTGAACTGATTTCTTTGTGAATTTGAGGTCTTTTAAGAATTTCTGGTAGAACCTTTTGCATAAATTGCTGTTACATGCATTAATTTAAGCTTGTCTGCAGTGAAGTCTTTAAGGAAGTACCATCCAGGTATGGGAGTGGCATTACAAGAGAAATCCTGGGTTTCTTTTGGAGGGATAAATGAAAGCGGGTGAAGGCAAGCACATGCAAGCATTTTCACATACACTGCGTGGCTGCTGCCACTTAAAAGAAAGCAAGTCAGGTAGCAGGTACAAAATTTCTTCATCACCTTGCTCCTTGGTGCTTGCCAGTCTGCCCAGCTCCCAGCCAAGCAAAGCCAAGAGGCAGCTCCCCTCCAGCAGACTGATAGGAGCAGGAGCTGTTTAGTGCCTGGCCTGCCAGAAGTGCACAGAGAGGGGGCCGTGCTAGCCCAGGTGTGCTGCCTTCAAGGGGAACGTGGCAGAAGGCAGAACCACTGCACTGACAGACATTTCCCATTCCTCCCCAAGGCATGTGCTTGGTGCTCCTGCAGCCTGTGGTGAGCAGTGAACTCTTCCTGCTCAGTTTCAGTCCTGTGGTGCTGGGCAGTGCTCCTAACTCTCCTCCTCTCCCAGATGGCTGAACTCTGCTTTTAGTGCAGGCCAATTTTGTTTGATTCAGAACAGACTGAAGTGAGAATATAAATGATTAGGAGGACCATTTTGTCATGGTTTAACCAAACCCCACACAGCTGCTTGTTCACTTCATTACCAGAAGGACTGGGGAGAGAATGAGAAGCTGGAGAACTCTTGGACTGAGATAAAGGCAGTTTAATAGGGAAAGAAAAAGCCATGCACACAAGCAAAGCGGAGCAAGGAATTAATTCACTGCTTCCCGTGGGCAGGCAGGTGTTCAGCCATCCCCAGGAGAGCAGGATCTCATCGTGGGTAAGGGTTACTTGGGAAGACAAACACCATCACTCCAAATGTCCCACACTTCCTCCTTCTTCCCCCCACTTGATGCTGTGAGTGTGATACAGCACAGAAAGCAGCAATACCGTGGCCGCTTGCCAGCCCATGCTCACCATGGCTGTTACCAGAATGTTACCAGGCACGCTGCTGTGAGGTGATAAGAAGTACAGCAAGCAGTGAAAGCAAGGAGCACTGGACTCGAATATGCAGACAGGAAAGGGAGCCCCAGGGCAAGTATAGGAGCTCACTACTAGCTAAGCAGCACTAACAGTTGTAAATTCAGTTTAGTACATCCCAGTCAAGTCTGTTGTTATGTCAAACCATTTTAATCCCAAGCTGAGCACAAAAAAAATGAAGGAAATGTAGCCTTCAGAGAGAGTTTATATTCTTTTTTTTAATGTGTTATTTTTCATCCTTAGCATTGACTTGCCGCCTTCTGAATCCATCTTTCAGAGTATTGATTACCTTTTTGTCACCCATTCTTTCCGTTTGAAGTTTTTTTTCAATGCATATGGCTGCAGAGTACTGCAGAAGCATTCAAAGGTAGTGCAAATTTATCTGATCTTTTTTCTCTTGTCTTTGTTTTCATGGGTGTTGAAAGCTAAGGAGAGTGACCATTTTACATATGTAAAGTCATCAGAGCTGCTACCCTTTCTGGGTGCAGTTGAAATGGATAGGTGAGCTCAGGTCCCCCTATGGGCTATTTACGTAAGGCTTGGATTCAGTGATCCTTGTGGGTCCCTTCCAACTCAGAATATTCTGTGAATCTATGAGCTGAAGCAACTGTAGGTAGAGCACAGGGCTGGCACAAGGAAAGCACACTTCTCCCAGTCAGGGGCCCAGAAGGGACCAACTGGTTACTATTGCAGCTCTCTGTCTTTAAATGATGAGTTAACCATGATTCTACAGTGAGGTTCGAACTGTTTTCCCTCTTGGCCTGTTGAAGTGGATTATAAGTGTTTTCCTATGATGTGTCACTTGGGGATTATAAGGATTTGTTTGTTTGTAGTGGAAATCCAAAGAAGGAACAAACTTTAATTTTTTTTTTTTTTAAAAACTAGTAATTTAAATTTAATAATTAAAAAAACAATTTAAAGGTAAAAACTTTCAAAAGTTTTTACTTGTTATTTTTTCAGTTTGTCTTTTTAAGCTTTCAGTTTGTGCTTTCAGTCTGCATTTTAGTGGCTAAATGATGTTTAAAAGTCACATATGACTTGAGTGAAGTTTTATGGCTTTTAAGGCCACTGTTGTCTCATATAGCTGTACCATAAACTTTGCAGTGTGGATTCATCAGGCCCTGTTCTGTTACGTGCATTATTGCACTTCAGCTGAATTCTGCTTGTGTAAGCAGTGGTGACAAATCCCTTTGCAGTAATGTCAGAATGAAGGAAGGAGTTTCAGCCTTGCACAAGATACAAGTATCAGCTTGAAGGCTGTCTAATTTTTACATCTTAGAAATGTCCAGTTCATTGAATTAATTTTTGCTCTAGACAATGCATTGCCAAGGCTCAGTGAACGGGTAGGACATCTACATATATACAAAATACTAAGTCCTTTCTTAAGTATATGCTTTAAAAATAAATTTTATTGAGACTATGGCTGCTTCAAACTTGTGTTTTGTAAGTACTTTTCATAGGTAGTATTGTTCAGGAGCACCTGCATAGTCAACAAGAATGTCAGGTTTCAAGAAAAAGGTAAAGAAACCTTTCTTTATGCCTATATGGTTTGTATATGTCTGACCCTGCTGATATTTGTGAGAGATGTGCAGTAGTTATTTCTGACTTGGAGAAGGGTACGTATAAAACAAATTAGTCTTCTTCACAAATCACAATTTGTCTTGTAGGTTAAAAGAAGCATTTTCTGCCTTGGCGATGTACACTTTTGAAGCAGAAATGCATCGTATCTTGTATGCAAGGAGGATTAGTTCTAACATTTATCTATCTTAGTCCAAGAAGATACAACTGGGTGCACTTGTTTGCTACTCAGGAAAAAACCCTCCAAACCAAAATCCCTCTTATTTAGCAGCCTGAAATCAAGCAGCAGCAGATACTTGCAGTAAAATAAGTCTTTCAGTGGAGTTTGTCCTTTCATTTCCTCTCACATGTATTTCCTTCCTGTCTGCTGTGTGAGTTGGCTGAAGGTGTAAACATCTACTAAATCTTAAATACTTTAGTTGAAATAATTTCACATTGAGGAGGTGTTTGATAATGTATATACACATTCATGTCCCACAGTAGTCACACCTGATGACATCTTTGCCGTCAGTATGGCAGCAATAGTTTTGGTTGTTTGCATGTGGACAAATAAGTACATTTCTGTACAAGTTATAAACTGATGCAGGTGTGAATTTGCTGAGATAAACTGTGCAGCTGTTTTCCCACGTCTGTTCTCTGTTTAATTCTGAACTTCCAGGTCACCCTGTGGTCATGCTTATCTTTCCTTTTACCCCTGTCTTATTACTACCTTTGCTTTCCAAAATTGCAGTTCTTTATCTTCAAAATACCAGCCTGTTTAGTTTATTCTGGCATGCTTAGGAAAAGTGTATCTGATTGGCCTGCCTTTGCCTTGTATTCCTTCAGTCTGTGGATGTAGAGCTGTTTCCTGAAATTCCTTTTATGTTGTTCTACAATGCACATACTAATTTAAATTTCTGTGAAAAAATGGTTCTTGCTGTTCTCTGTTGGCTTCTCAGCAGCCAGTATTGCTGTCTTACAAGGCAAGGTGAACTGCCAGGGGGAAACACTTTGAACTGGAGGCAAACTAGAACTTTCTGAGTTTCCTGAGTCATGCATTATGGCATGAGTTGCTGATCAGTTTTCTTCTCTCGTTCCATACTTGCTGTCTCACTGTTTGAATTTGCACCTTTAGTGTTGCTGCATTTATGTTTATTATAAATTAAAAGGAGTTTTATGTTTGACCGTTACCTTCATGGCACTGAAGTGCCATCTGATAACTGCTGTCATCATCTTCCACTTGTGCTTGCAGAGCAACATAGAACACGGTGTAACGTGTTTAGAAAAATGAAAGCTTCATTATGTTTAGTTAGTGTTCACATACAGTTTCATGGCCTTTTAACTGGCAATATGCAGAAATTGCATCTATAAGGATTAGACATTAGCACCTTGAAAATCTGCAGTGTCCTCTGTGATCTGTATTCTTGATGCTGGAGTGAGATGGGATTGTGGCATCCCCAGGCACTGTCTCTGGACTGTCTGCAGAAAAAATCATTAGAAATCAGATAGCCAGCCTGACTAAAAGAGCTGTGAGCTAGACAGCGAAAACTTATTTGTTCAGCTACCTGTGCAAAGACTTGCATATCTTGAGAGGGTGGACAGCACCTCCCAGTTCAGTATCATTGGCAAATTTGCCCAAGGTGCATTCAAATCCTGCATTCAGATCCTCGGTAAAAATTGTGAACAGAACAGGCCCTTGAACTGGGCCCCAGGGAACACTGCTGGTCCCCAGCTGGATGCAGCCCAGTTCACAGCAACCCTTGGAGCTCTGTCCTTCAGCCAGTTCTTCATTCAGTGTGCTGTGAACCTGCATATGCCAACTTGTGCGGAAGAGCACAGTGCGAGACAGTATCAAAAGCTGTACTAAAATCCAGAAGAAATATATCTGCTGCCTTCCCTTCACCTACTAGGCAGGTAATAAATTAGTTAAGCAGGACTTCCACTTTGTGAACCCCTGTTGACTGTTCCTGGTGATTATATTCTTCTTCTAATGTTTTTTGTGAGCACCTGGCATGATCTTCTCCATCATTTTTTCCAGGTGCTCAGATTAGGCTAACAGGTCTGGTTTCCTGAGTCTTTCCTCACGCCCTTCTTGTAAGTTGGAATAGAGGTTGTCTTCTAGTAAGCAGGGACCTCCCCAAATCTTAGGCAGATGATGGAGCAGTCCTACTCTTAACATTTGCTACCTAGTGCTCTGGGGTCAACCCTTTTGTTAAGCAGTTTCTTTTACGTAATAGTAAACAAAAGGTAAAATTTTGTAAGGCTAGCTACACTGTGGCTTAAAACTGCATACTTGAAGTAATGTTTGTGTACTTTGGCCCATCTGTGTGCTTGACATCTCTTCTGTCAGCTTTTTTCCTTGTGGTTATGAATTTGATGATTATGTTCCTTTTTTTCCAATAGCTGAAATACCACTGTTATATGTATTAAAACAAAAACCACAGAACCATTTGCAGAGTGATCTATATTACATCTGTCAAACCTTTGTGGTCAGTAGCATATCTCAGCCCCTGTGTGTTACTTTCAATAATGTGTGTATTTGTGGTCTTGTTCTCAGGATGTGTAAATTGATTACTTTCCCTAAATATATCTCAGAATGAAGTTGCAGTACTTGCTTTGTGAACAAGAAGCAATGTAGAGCAGGTCAAATATGAGTTCCCTCAACATTTTGTAAAAGCCTCATTGAGAATACTAAAGGTGCCAAAAAAGACATTGACAAGCTGAGTTTTAACAGTTAAATTCAGCTGAGTGACCTTCCGTTCTCTTCTCTTCTCTTCCTGAGTGTCATGTGTCAGCCTTACGGGATCCTGTAATTTTCCTTCTCCTGCAGCTGCTCCCTTGATATCCCTATTGTGCTTGCAGCTTGAAACAGATACATGCAAGACTGTCAGTGTTGCTTCTTTTTTTTGGAATGCTTTACTACATTACCTCTGATATTTTTTGCTAAGTGTACTTCAAACGTGTTCCTTCAAATGGAACTACATTATAGCTTCAGTGTTCAGTTTCCTTACAAATGTTTGTAGTTCATTTTGGTCATCACAGCTTACGGAAAATACTGCTGGAGTGGTAGAAGTATCACTGTTAGAAATTCATAGGGAACACAGGCTTTCCCTAGCAGGCCTGTTGCATTTTGGCCTTGATATTCCAGCTCTGGTACCATCTCCCAGCCCATCCACTCCAGTTCAATTTCTGAACAGCTACAGAAATCTACAGGAACTGAGCTAATCTCCTCTAGCTTGAGTTAAGTCTTAGAACCTGTCTCACTGTTACACCTGTAAAAGACCAACACAGGGGTATAATCATCACTGCTTATGGACCTGATACAGGCTGTCAGATGGACTTGCCTTCAGTGCACCTGGGTTATCTGACATTCTTGCAAAGAGGACATTTCTCCTCTCTGCAGGAGAGATGAATAATAAATCAACTTACAGGGCTCATGGGTGTTTCTACTGGTGACAGACTAGCTCATCTGGGGGGAAGTATTTGTGATTTCTATATCTAGCATGTTGCCTTTTCCAAATAATTTAGAAGTACATTTAGCTGTTCTTGTGTTTGCAAAGGTCTGTTTATCAAAGTGCAATTGCTCTCTTCATTCTAGTACCTTCACCAACGGAGATTGTAGTGACATCTGAAAATTTCAAATCAGTTTTGCATTGGCAGTACCCACCTGTGTCTGAAACTCCTCGTTTTATTGTGGAAATCAAGCCTTACAAGTAAGTTCTTATTATTTTGTTATTTCCTATACCTGATGTTATCTAGAAACATACAAAAGCAGTCAGTCCATGGTAAATTCTTTTGGTTGTATGTGGTGATGTCATATGGGGTGAAGGTTGCCCAAGTGTAAATTAAGGCAAAATTTGTCAAGTAATTGGGTGGTTGAGGTTGGCAGGAATCTCTGGAGGTCATCTGGTTCAACCCCCTTGCTTGAGCAGGTCATCCATGATTATATCCAGTGGGCTTTTGAATATCCCTAGGGGAGAAGACTCCACAACCACCCTGGGCAATCTGTACCCTCACAGGTCCTGGCCACCCTTATAGTTTTTTATTTCTGGCAGTGTATTGTACAGAATTATGCAGTTGAAATTGTATTAACTATTACTTGATCTGTTTTACAGTTTAGGTTACTATAAGAACATCTCAACCTGTATGAACACTACAGATCATTTTTGTGATTTCTCAAAGGAAGTATGTGACCCTTATTTATCTCACTGGCTTCGAGTTAAAGCTGTTGTTGGGTCACAACAGTCTGAGTATGTTGAGTCAAAGGAGTTTATTTTGCAAAGGCATGGTAAGTTGTATCTAAATTGTAAACCTTGTAATTTTTTCCAAATATTTAGTGCTAGTAATTATTCCTTTTCCTCTGTTGTTGCATTGCATTTGGGAATATCTTAAAGCCAGGAGTCCAGGATGAAATGAAGCATGACGATTGCTTAGTAGGAACTTCATGGCGCTTGTTAGCTCTGACTCTGTGGTGTCTATTTGTTTCAAAATGTCTAAAGGCAAGAGGGTGATGCTGATGGTGCACTCTGAATCCTTTCTGTACTCCAGACACCAGTTTAGAGTGGGAAACTGTCACCATACAAGATGGACCTGTAGGCATCAGTGAAGTAGCAATGCCTTGCTTGACAACATGGCTAGAGTGCCATGTACTGATAGATTCAGGTATCCAGATATTACCTAGAAGCCATAACTGGATAACTCAGTTACTGTATCTTTGTATAAATCCTTTGGCCCATGAGATTCTATCTGACTTGAGCTATGCTTTAGCTAGGAATAACTTTCTGCATTGCTGGAGATGAAAGAGTGAAGTCCCTCTTTGATTTCTGCTATGATTCCATTCCCACTCAACAGTCCAATGACTTGAAATAGTGGCTGGTTTCTAGAGTTTGACAAAGGGACACAAGTCGTGGTAGTAATGCTCAGCCTGACAGTTTCCAGAACATTGGGAACCACATATGAAGAAGAGAGACAAAATTCTCTTTTTTCCTTTGAACAAGAAACTCATGTTCAGTCAGACCATTAGACACGAAAAATTCACATAGGCCATTGCTGTGGGAAATCCAAAGTTTCCAAATGGTGCTTATGGTGAGATTTGTTTAGCTTTTTTTTAGCTTTCCATTGTTTCAGTGCAGTATTGTTTTTAACTGAGGTGTTTTATGGTGGGATCTAGTCAGCAGGATCTTGTGTTTGGTTCTCTTTCCTGTATATGTTTAATTGCTGTTAGTTTTTTCTGTTGTCAGCTGAAGTTTTATGGACTTAGGTGTCTAGGAAAGTTAACTTGCTTTACAGTAAAATTCTTCATGAATGATCTGTTTCCATTTTAGAAACTGATTAGTTAATGTATCCAAATTCCTCCATTACTTCTAACAGTAGAGAGGTCTTACCACAGCTATGCAATATTAACAGCATGGAAATATAAATACTTAATTCTTCTCAAATCTCTGATGAATTTTGGAAAGCTAACTATAAATACCATATTTTATGTTAAAACCTTTGGCCTAATAGTAATGGTGCAATGTGTTGCAGGAAAAATAGGACTGCCAAAACTGAGTCTCTCAAGACATGGTGATAAAATCACGGTTGATATTTACCATTCTGTATTCCCTCTTTCTTGTATTGAAGACATTTATTCAAAGCTTGAGTACTCGGTGATTGTTCGGGATAGTAAAAATAAGGTAGGTTCCAAAAATAAAATTTAAAATTAAAAATACTGGTTTGCCTTAAATGTCTATGCAAGAGATTTATGCCTATGACACATGGAGCTAACAGATGCCAAGAAAACAGCTGAACACCTAAAATGTTGAGCGCATTACAATATGTGATTGAAAGGTCTGTATTTCAGTTGTCCAAATTAGTCGCTTACAATGAAAATTAGATTATTGCGTTAGCTGTACACAAGTGTTATTCTGTCACATGCTGCTGTCTCTGCATACATGCTAAAATATTGGTAATTTGACTTGTGCCACTCTCACTTGTCTAAAGAGACATTGCATTTAAGAAAATTACCTTTTGAGGTATTTATACCAGTTTATTTAGCAATCATGGAGGGTGAAGGTTGCTTACTTACTTACAGTTAGCTTTTCATATGCATCCAGGTACAGGTTTTATAATTGTGAATCTCTGCTATGAACAGCAGAATTTTTACCTAGAAAATACCATGCTCTGATCAAATACAACATCTTAAGATAGCCAGTAAGGAGATGGTCATATAGATTTTGCAAGACATATGGGTGATGTAGAAAACACATCTAATAGTGTTCTTACATTTTTTTGAAGTGGTGGAAGGTACTGTAACATTGTTCTAGTGAGTCAAATGATATAAGATATCTTCCAATTTTTTTCAGACTGAAGAACTCTATGCGGACAACTGTACAATGCATAAGTGCAGCCTCAAAATCCCAATTTCTACTGAAAATTCTACTTACTGTGTTTCAGCAACAGGAAGTTTTGATAATCTGATGTTTGGCACTCCATCAGAGGAAAGTTGCATTTCTGTTCCTCTCAAGCAGACATCAAGTAAGAGGCTTCTAATACTATATTAAGAACATACTGAATCTGAACATAGATCTGATCTAGCAAGTATTTGATGCTTGGGATGCCTTTGGGGAGAATAGAAGAAGTAGGAAAAGCTTAGTCATTATTTTCCAAATGTACTTTGATAGTTCTGACCTTTACAAATCATGTATTATTTTCAAGTGACCCTGAATTTTTTGGGGGGGGTATTTTTCCTGTGTTGCTGGTATCACAAAACTTTTCTATTGCACATGAACACTGGTGTAATCAAAAAATCACAAATTGATCATTCACTGAGCTGTGTGGTTTTCATATGCATTCATAAGGCATTGTCTCTTCTAGCAACTGGCTTTTTGCAGGATAATGTGTATAGACTTTTAACTGGAAGCAACTATAAACTTACTGTCATTAAATTAAGATATTCAGGTCTTTTTCTTAAGTAAAGAGAACAAAACAAACATTGTGGTTGTACTTCATTATGGCCTGTAATTTCAGCAAATTGATAGAAGCAGTTTTCTTGAATGCACAGGATCAGCTGGATGAGGGAGGGTATTAAGAGAATCAGACTAGTGGAGTCCTACTAGTAATTGTTAACAATTCTTTGTTTTGGAAGATTTCATATTTTACTTTTACTGTGCATAAACTCTGTATAGTTATGTCAGTTAATATGCTATCACATAGAAAGTGTACAAATCTTATCATCCCCATCTCTCATCTCTAAGGAACAAAAAATTAGTTGCAAAATTCCTTTATTTCTATAAAAACATGATTATGTTTATATGAATTGAAAAGCTTCTGTCATTGTAATTCTTATTTACTCCATAAAAGTGTTATGGATTAAGTTTTCCTGAGTGAGAAAAGGTAGTACATTGACAAATTCACACATTACAGCTAAGCATTCTGAGCTATTAGAATTTCTGAAATTATTCTAAGTGGTACAGCAGTGGCTTGTTTTTCCAAAATTCCTAGTAGATTTTGCTTTAATTTTCTAGGTACACATGGTATCATCATTGTGTGTGTTGTTATTGGGATCTTGACTGTAATATTTTCGGTGTATTATGGCTGCAAAAAACTAAGGAAAGACAACATACAGCTGCCAAAGTCGTTGGTAAGTTCTGTAACTCCTGTATCTTGATGCCAATCTTTTGGGTTTGGTTGGGTTTTTTCAGCTTTTTTACCATGGTCTCATAGATATTTAGAATTTATGCCAGTCTAATATTCTGAAAGCCTTTGCAACCAGATGAGTCTTAGTTTTTTAGGACTAGACTTCAATGTCTCTTTAACTGAAGTAGCAATAGTTGGTGTAGTTTGAGAACTTGGTTCTTAAAAACTCAGTGTGTGCATACCTAGGCAGGTTTGTGTTCACTCTAGTAGCAGAGACACAAAACTACAGAATCACTGAAATGAGACCTTTCTAGAGGTCATCTACTCAAAGCCTTTTTGAGGTCATCTACCCAAAGCCTTTTGCTCAAGCACAGGAACAGGTCAGCCATGAGTGTATCCAGATGGCTTTAGAATACCTGCAAGGAAGGAGACTCCACAGCTGCTCTGGGCAATCTGTTCCAATGTTAAACCACCCACCCTCACAGTTTTTCTTACATTCAGAAAAAATTCTCTGTGTTTCAGCCCATTTCCTTTTGTCCTGTCACAGGATCTGTGAGATTCCTTCATTAAACAGTAGTATTGGAATCCTGCTAATTGCTACAATATGCTTAGTGATGTGCAGAGTAAGGGAAGGGAGTAATAGCTCTGTAGGAAGAGGGAAGAAGGACATGCAGAAGTCTGTTCTCACATTGAGCAGTCACAGAGAAGAGAGGTCAACAGCTGCTCTATCTTAAAAACTTCCTGTAGCCATTCCTAGGAAACGGAGTAGATATTCCTTAAGGAGCAGCAGTGCTCCTTCGTTTCATGTCAGGCAAGAGTGGTGTATCTAAGAACTACTGTTGTAATATTCTCCTGGTGTTGTGTTAGTCACAACAATGAACTACCACAACTTCAAAGAGCTGACACCTGAGGCAGTGGTAAAAAGAAATCACAGCAAGAGTATCTTCTCAGTGGATGGATGAAGTCTCATTTACAGAGAGAGTGGCCAACAAATTTCCATTCCATGTTCTTCAGTTTCAAAACCCTTTAAAATGACCTCTCCATAGTCAATGCCCAAAATCCCTCTGGAATCTGTGTTCTTTAGAATATCAGGAGGCAAGATTGCTCTGACTAAATGGAGATTCCCAAGCCAGAGGTGGTCCCTTTGTAGTAAAGCAGTGATCTAGTCCACCAACTTGAGCAGCACAAGATGATTCATCTCCTTTATGCACTTCTGATCAGACAGAAGGCTTTCTAAAATTCTTGTTTCTTTCCATGGACTGTGATGGAGCCAGGGGACTGGTTTGGAAGTAGCCATTCACACTGTAGGCTTTAAAAAAATCAGATGAGAAAAACCTCTCTGACATCTCTAAATAGGCCCCAGTATCAAAACACACCGGCCTGATAGTAGAGATACTGGAGACTTTGTGTCATCCTCACACCAGAGTGTACTTGTCTGAATATGTAACTTTGTGTCCTGTGTGCACGCAAGAGTAATTTCTGTGGAGATCCATTCATTGTAGCAGAAGATGCTCATGCAGAATTACAGTGCTGTGCTCAGTGGATCCATAGTTATTTTGGCTTTCCAGTACCACTGTGATGTCCCACCTAAAGATCAGGAAGTGGAATATCACAAATAGAATGTGTGCTCCTTTACACCTGTGAGCATCCTGATGCATGCTCCAACTTCACACTTGAGATTACTTAGTAGAAACTCATGTGTGTGCCCATATTCTCATTTTAATAGACTAGATGTTACTTTATGGTTCCTAGGTTCCAGTACCACAGTATGGTTCACGTGCTACATCATATTTTGTTGCTAAAGAGCTGAATGAAGCCTATAACTATTTCTAAATATTGTTAACTGTGTGGTCAAGTATTGAGACATGCTCCCCTTGAAAGTGGTTGCTGCCCAAGTCCTGTTCAAGAAGCATTTTGCCCATGTTCTGAGATGTGGGTTTAAATTCCTAGGTTGCTCTGGATGGAGTCAGGAGGTAGACACTGGTTCTTGTGGGTCCCTTCCAAATCAGGATATTCTATGTTTCTGTCCATTTCCAATGAAGTCTTTAATGACTAACATAAGTTGTAGAGCTCATAGAGGTAGTTTAAACATAGGTGATATGAATACTGTGGGAATGCAAAATGAGCAGTTAATAATTTAAACATAATTTTGTGGTTAATCATTTAAAATAATGAACAAACAATTGAAATAATTGTTATGAACAGTAAGTTTAATTATATGACATTATCTCTATAGACCTGATGGCACTTGGAGCCTGTCACTGACCTTTGCGTATGTACTAGGCCTTTTTTCTGTACAGGTTATGATCGTTGTGCCTTACCTGAGCTTGTCTGAGAATAAAACATCTAGGGAGTTTTTCCATCTGTTAAAAGACTGGGCAGGATTTCCTACCTTAGGACTGCTGTTTTCCAGTGATCTTCCTGGTAGTTTTAAGTAGATTTTAAAAAATCGTTTGAGTCACTTTGAACAACTTGGAATTTTCCAACCGAAGGAAAAATAAGAAAGAGTAACCATCAAGCATCAAGTACCCAAGCAGCCATCTTTGTGAGTCTCATATACTTAGAGAAAAGAAAAAAAAAATCCATTGCAAATTAGGGCTCCAGAGCTTTTATACTGTCTTTTCTATGCTGTTTGTGACTCCCAAGAATTACGTATCAGTTGTATCTTGGTCCTACTTCCACAGTGCAGCTGCCATTCGGTATGGCATACGATGAATGTCTTCATCAGAAAACATGTTTGTTTAAATGTTTAAATATTATTATAAACAGTAGGATCCTATCAGGAATATGCATACATGAAATGGGACAGATTCCTTTACAAGACTTCATGTTAAGTCTTCTGCCTGAATCAAGGAAATCTGATGTTTCAGCAGTTCAGCTGTAGTTATAGCTTCCTTTCTTTTATCTCACAAAAAGTATTATAGGAGGCTGTCTCCTTCTACCCATTGTCTTCAGTCATTGAAAAATGTCCTGTGGTTATTCCAGGACTAGATTTTTGTTCTAAGATTTGTGGTAAGGGCTTAGCCACTTTTGAAGGAATGTGACCATAATTTTCTGATATGCTGTGGGCATCTCTCTCTCTCTGCACTTTAATTTCCCTGTCTTTTTCTTCAGTGTCTTTTATCTTTGAATGGTGGCAAATATTTTTGTGAGTAAGAAACATCTACTTTATAAGAGAAAAGTGAAAACTGAGTCTTATTTAAGCCTACTTTTCTGTTATCTGCTCATGCTTTTTCTAATTCTGACAGGAATTATAAGGCTGTGTTGTTCTCTCTTTGTAGAACACTTTAGGATAGTCACAAAACAGTAGGAAATTTTCTTTGCAGCTGTTTTTTTTGATTATACAACATATATTTTTGATATGGAAAAACTAATTGTTCCTGCAAATATTGACTGACACTTGCCAGAAATAATTTGTCATCTTACAAGAGAGAAGCTGCTTCATTACTTTTGTGAAAATTTTTTTCCCCTGTGAGCATCTGTAGGGGGCAGTAACATAGTCTTCATAAATTTATATAGCATTAATGTTCTGTGGAAGCATACAAAAACCACAAAGATTATTGCCATCATCCTAATAGGATTTGAAGTGAAGTTCTCAAACTCCCCTTCATGAAATGTGCACCTGAAAATTACTTGGAATTCATAGGTGGACAAGTTATTAGAAAAGAAGTTAAGAAAGGAATTGTTAATTACCTTAACTGTTATGGATTCCTTGGGATATGCTACTTCCCTGTGTCCTTGAGCCTGACTTTTAGCAGTGTGTCTCCCTAGTCTGTTGAGGCCATGAAAGACCTGAAAGCACAGGTGCTGTTATTTGAGACAGGAAATTATGTACCTGCACATGCCAGGTAATATTGCTGATACCCATCTTAAGATCACAGGCTGTCAGTTTGCTAGTATTAGGTAATGTCAATAAAAGAAAAATACTAACTTGCCTATAGTAAATACTTTTCTTCAAATAGCCACCATATCTTAATTACCCTTGTTACTCAAGATCTTTAGAATGTTGCTGTAATAACCAGTTACTGTAATAAGCTGTGATTCTTATCTTTGAAGCTGGAAACAACTGCATGAGTTGTTAAATTGTCTCGTAGTCATGACTCAGTGACCCTTAAAAATACCTTTGGTACCGGGAAACACACAGGAGTTTTTTCTTCTGATCACTTCCTTCTTTCATGAATGGGAATAGGAGTGTCTTTGCACCATCTTGCCTGGTCAGAAACTTGTCAAGAAAAAAGTGGGTTTCGTTTTGAGAGGTCTTGGATGTAGTTGTACAGAGAATAGGTATTTTATTTCCAAAGTCTCTAAGTATTGCCAGCACTCACTGTGAAATGCTGGACCTGTGTAGAATGCAAGGTGATCCCTTAACACATTCTAGGACTGTGATTTTTTAGAACTGTGTGAAAATCCTAAAAGGGGAGAAACATGAACTCATTGGGTTTTGTTTTTAACTTCAGTTTAGCATGTACTGGTATGGGGAGAGATGGGAAGCAGAAAACACAGCTTTTGACTATGGTTTCTCTAATACTTTGTTGTAATTCACATTCCTCGAGTATTTTTACACAGAGAATTCCCTTCTCATGTCACTTGCTGTGTGGTTATTGGAGTCAGATTTTTGCTAACCCCCACCCCAATAAACTATAGATGCTGGTCTCTTCAAGATCAGTGTTGGATAGTGTAAGTACCCAGTATTTTGGATATATATCCAATATAGCTATATAAAGAGATTCTCAAAAAGTGCATTAATCCTTCTAAGGTGTTCTTAATATTTTCAGTATCTGCCCATTGTTGATTGTAATCTCTTACTTACAACTAACTTTTAAGCATATGCTTCTTATGAATGAGTGAATTCTCATGGAATATTCTTTATAGTTTTATATATTCTGTAGTATTCTGTTTCCATAACAGAAAATGAAGATCCAAAGACATGGATGGTTGTACACTACAGCTAGGTTGCAGTCAAGGAGCCACCTGAATGCACTTTTCAGTGGCAGCCCTTGATTCCCCAGAGGATTGCCTCACCTTAGTGGTGTTCACACAGGTGTTTGTAAAAGTAACTTAGATGATCAGTAACTGCTCTTCAGGGAGTGTTTGCTTGACCTGTGGTGGTGTTTGTTGTTTGGCTGGTTGGTTTTCCTAAACTGTAATGCTTTTATTGATCCAGCCTTAACCACAGAGTAGCATCATCAGAGCTTCTGAGGGGTAAGATAATGAGACTGAAGTGAGAGATGAAGGCAGTTTCTAATGAAGGCAGCACACTCTGAAGGTATGAATGTAAAGCTACAGTCTGACAACCATTTAATCAGGAAAGACTCTTGAAAAGCACAGTCAATGGGATCATCTGGTTTTGATGGCCCTCAGTTCTTACACTAGTACAGACAGGGAGGTTTTTTGTGATGACTTGTAATTTTTCTTAATTGTATTTTACTTCATCTTTCCTCCTCCTGTATGCACCTCTTTCTTCCAAATTAGCCTCCATCTGAATTTTCAGGCAGATTTTTTTTTTTTTTAACAAAGTATCTGAAAAAACAGTGATTGTGTATTTTACTAAGAAAATCATGGATCTATAATACTTGATATTGTGTGATACACATACATAGTGAATTACAAAATTTGTGAAAGAACACTATTTTTCTCCCTTGGCATTCTGTTATCGTTAGGGAACACCATCAAAGAGCTGAAAATTTACCCTACTTTGTTTTTAATGTGTATGTACTCTTGAAAAGACATTTAAAAAAAATAAATAAATAAAGAATCTAAGCAGCCTGAAGGCATATTGTAATTGTTTAAAACGAGCTGGGGCTTGGCCAGTGAAAGAATTCATATGATCAACCTGTGGAGGGATGTCAATGGGAAACATTAAAGTTTGTTGCAGCATAGTGACTTTGTGAAATAAGTTAGGAGACTTCAGCATAGATGTTGCTGGGTATGTTGTTCACTTCCCTCCTGGTTGAAACAGGTGCCAGAAATTATCACAGCCACTGTAAATTATACTCATTCTCTATAGAGTATGAAAGGCTTCCCCAGCTGAAGAGTATTACCTCTTTTTCTTCTTTTGCTGTTTTCCTCTATGCTGGAAACTTCAAAATATAGTGGGTAACATGAAATGGATTTGATCCTTGCAAATATGCTTGCCCAAAGAAAGCATTTTTGAGATCTTGCAAACAAGTGTTACTGGAACAGTTAAACTCGTGGGCATAGGCCAATGACCGTGCCAGATTTTAATTTTTCAGTTTTGTTTTGGAATTGGTTATAATGATGCTAAATTATCGACTTGCATATTTTTTCAGCTTTTAAACTCAAAGTTGTTTGGTTTGGTTTGTTTTCTTTTTTTTCCATTTAAGGTCATTGTGATGAGAAACCTGAACACAGGCACCTTACTGGGACCGAGGTCAGACGGGAAGTATATATCCGTAATTAGCTTCCCATCGAGCCACTCGGAGTTGCCAGTGAATGGTGAAGTAACCTTGCTGGTCACAGAGCCAGAAGAACAAACTGTTAGTTCTGCAAATTCCTGTGATGGAGAATCTTCTGTCCCATCCCCAGAGCCACCAGCCAAAGAAGAAGAGGTGCCTGTTCAGGAAAGCACAGAGGAGGTCTCTTCTGATGCTGAAGAACAAAACTGTGTGGTAAAAGAGAATTACTTCATTTCTGACAGTAGCCAAATGGATATCTGCAATGAGTCTTCAGGGTCAGAGATCTCTACCACAGAAAGACAGCAAACGGTGATTCCAAGCAGCTGCTTCAAGTTTTCTGGCTATGACAAGCCTCATGTTCCATTAGATATGTTGATGATAGATGTTGGTGAAGAGCAGCCTGTGAATGCTTACAGGCCAACTGAGTAGGCAGGATAACTAAAGTGCCTAACCACAACTCAGAACAGCATTACTGAAGGTTTTGGAAAGTCTGGGTTAAATTGTGAGCATCTGCAAGTTGTCTTGTCCTGGTCAGTAAACAATTGAAAATAGTATCTGAAAATGGCATAAAAAATGTGGGGAAATTTAATAGTAACCACTTTTTGAAATGCTTTTGTATATGATATAACTCATTATTTCCTATTTGAAATAGTGCTGTGTTTTTTAACAATACTCTATAGAAAATATATCATCGACTATAAAACACCAGCTGTACCATTATGCACTTCTGCTTCAAATCTTGCTCAAAATCAGTTCAACAAACATAATGCTTAAAAAATCCTGCACTTGATTATGATGGATGTGTGCAAGAAATGTTTGAGAATTTTTTACCATTATTGGAGGTATCTTCTCGCTTAGGTTTTTTCTTTTGAAGAGTATTTTTATATTAAATGCTCCTATTTTTTTAAAATAAGACTGTGCCTATAAACTCTTCCTGTATATCTTAGGAATTTGATTGCATGTCAGAGAAGTAAGAAGTAATGGCCATAAACTAAGAACACAAGAAGTTCACCTCAGCATGAGGAAGAACTTCTTTGCATTGAGGGTGGGTGGCAGAGCACTGGCACAGGCTGCCCAGGGGGATCACGGAGTCTCCCTCTCTGAAGACATTCAAAACCCACCTGAACTCATTCCTGTGTCACCTGCTCTAGGTGACCCTGCCTTACCAGGGTGTTGGACTGGGTGGTTTCCAGAGGTTACTTCCAACCCTAACAATTCTGTGAAAGTACCAGTTATTTGTAGTCTTTGCTGCTAACTTCAATATAGCGGCGCCCATTTGGATCACTTTGTGGCCTGAGTAACCATGTCCCATTCTGGCAGAATCTATTAGTAAGCTGACTGATCATCACTGGGGGAAAAAAGTCTAATGGGTAGTTGCACAAATTCCTTAGAAAATGCCCTCAAAATTCAAAAGCCTGGTTTCTTATATTATTCTATTCCATTATTCTATTCTTCTTCTATTTATTCTATTTTTATCCTAATTATTAGAACAATATGTTCTTTAAATAGAAATCAATCAGACTTTTCTAACAGGATGAAAATCACTGCTATTTCAGCCCCTTATAATAACATAATGCTGGAACTACACAAAATCACCCTCTTAAAAAAATTACAAAATCATCCTCTTAAAAAACATCTCAAGACCATAGGAAAATAGTGTGATTAAGTTGTACTTTATAAGTTTTATTGTCAGCTGACAGCCTCTTCCAAATTTTATATCACAGAGTCTGTAGTTTAGAAAATTGAGGAATAAGAATTCTATATTTTTATATTTTTTTTTTTTTCATATTGAAATGCATGTGATATATTTATTTCCCTTTAATCAAGATTTGGTAGGTATTTTCTATTTGTAGGAAATGTTTAGAGCAATTATTAATGAAGTTCAGGGAAAAAAACCGCTTTACGGGTACAAGTTGGTCCATTTACACAAAATCATGGGTTTGTTTTAAAAGGTATTTTTATAGGATTGTCAGTATTGTTACCATATTACAATGGTGGTTTTAAGGGAAAACCAGTGTCATAGAACTTCTATCCTTACGTTCCTTAGTGATGTGAGCATTCTTCAGGTAAAGTTAGTTTTTACAGAAGTTTCGGGAGTGCTTCCATTGTTGTATATATCAGATATTGACCACAATGGTAAAAAAGATTTAAAAACAATAGCTATTTTTCCCATCTCTACTCACAGGAAGGTAACAGATTGCTTAGCAGGGTTTTGATAATTTTAGGAAAAGCCAAATTAAGCTGGTGAATTTTGTAGTTATGATGTCATGGAAAGTTCAAATAGTAATTGTTAGCTGGCTCTGACTTGTTTCTGCATTCTGTTCAAACACAGTGCGACCCCCTAGCAACTTCCTCAATGTTGTGTTCTGGGCTGAGTTCCTAGAGGCAGTGCTTAGTGTCTTACTGCTTAGGATGCACTAATGTGTAGGTCTCCCTGAGGCAGAGGTGCAGAAAATAACACTCTTGGTGTGGCAAGAAGGCTTTTTGAAAATCAGCATTAACTGCATTTGAAACTTCAACTAAACTGACCGGGTAGTGATGTGGTTCATCACTGAGGCTCTTAGCAGGCTGTCTACTAAGTAGATGAGCTGCTGTGTCTTGTGCAGAGATTGCAGTTGATGTAATTTCTTTCTGAGTTTGGAGGTTTGTTGATGAATATGAATTGCAATAAAATACCTCAGGAATTTATAAATGTCAGGGAAGTGTTTACGTTAAACTTGGCTCTGAAGGGATAAAGAGAGCATTAGAAACTGGAGTTAGTCTTGTTTTTTGGGAAGAAGTTTCTGACCAGACAATTTGCTCTGTATTTTCTTTGCAACTGCTCAGAGCATTTAACTTTGCACTTGGTAGCTTGTTTTCCTTCTCTCAGTTTTGTCAAAAAAAGAAATAAAATGTTGATGTTGTCCAAGAACGTCAGTAATTAGCTTTGGCAATTGTTGGATTTGATGTGTGTGCCTCAAAACCAAGATTATGTCAGAAACATGTAATTTTTATTTTTTTTTAATTAGATTTACATTCTTAGCCGTGCATCAGGAAACTCTGATGCTATTAAACTGAGACAGAGTGTGTTAGATTTGTGTGAGCTAAGTGTTTCATTGTTCTGGAAGATTTCCCTTTGCTGACACACTGGCAGAGGAATGCCACTAGACACATTTTAAAGTGAAGTGACTGTCTCGGGTTCTTTTCTCTTACCCCTGCAATACAAGTACATTGTACATTCTTCTAAATCTTTCAAATCACGTGGAGTCTAATGTGAGTAAAAGGACCCAGCCAGGAGCAAGGATATCATTAAGAAGAGTGATGTTAAGATCAGTAAGAAATTACACAAAAATATATGGGAAAAATTTGGCATGGCAAATAGTCACATGTATCAGAAAGGTGGTGTTATTTCGGAAGCTGAAAGTCGAGAACAGCTGTATGAGTGCTTTGTACTATATCACATTTATATACAACAGACCTGCTCTTGAAATAAAGCAAGGTTAAATGTACTTTTTAATAAAAAATTCTGAATTGTAAATAAAAAAGCCACTGAACTAGCACTATCCCTGCAGTATGTCTTCTGTGTGCTGCGTACTTAACTAGTGGCACAGGGATAGTTTAGATGTTTAAATTGCTCAGGCTAGCTTACAGTTTTGGTAATTGTGAAATAAAGAAGTTTAAGGGTGTACAAAGCACAGGCTTCTTTTACTAGCTGTGAGTAGCTGAAAATGTGAGGCCACCATGAGAGAAGGATGTGCTTCTGGTTCAGTAGGCTGTTACCACCAGTCCTGCTTTTAGTAGTTGCCAGTAGTGGTATTGAGAGCCTGAGAGTTGGACACAATCCAGCAGTTTGCAGTGTGAGGATTTCTTGGGATGGGAATGGAAATGCCTTTCCAGCTACAGCTAGAAAGCCTTGCTTTTGCAGTTCTAATACCATATATCTGAACAATGTAGTTGGGAACCTGTCAGGTAGTATTTATCTATACATTTTCACTTAATTGAGTTAGTTAAATTGATTAATATTCCTGAGATGAAGTAGTTTGCTTGAGCTTCTGAATATTTGTACATAGCACCTTGATCCAGAATATGGAAGTGCCTAACATTTATACATTGAAAATAATTTAATACTCATGCCTTTTACAGGCCTGTCAGCTATCCAGTATCACATATCCAGTAACACATAAGGTTTTGCCACTTAAACATTTTCAGTTGATTCTTATCCTTGTCCTGGCTGCTTAGCACACTTCCCTTCCTCTCACTTGAAGATGATTTAGGTGATGATGTAAGACCCAAAACTTATATCCTGTGAAAGAGAACTTCACAAAACTCTGGCCTCATACCTGCCAACATTCTAAGAACTTCTTTAGTTCTTCTTCTTGAGTGGGCATTGTAATTTTTATTACTAGTTATGCAGTTAGCAATGAAGTATTGTGGCAGTACTATGTGCTGGCACAGAAACATCAAATCTGCTTTTGTGTGGTTTTCCACATAAAAGTCAATAATGTAGTTTAAAAAAAAATAAAAATTGTCAAATCCACTGACATCTGCGGAAACAATACAGCGTGTAGAGTCCCAGTTGCCTGGAACAGACTCACATATTTTTATGTAATCCTTCACTAAAAGATTGCAGAAAAAGAAACTTCCATGAGAAGACCTGTTTTTCTCAGGGTTAGGAAAAAGAAGTTGCTCTGAAGTGGTTCCATGTAAACAGTTGAGTATTAATAAGTAAGACATCTACTTGGTTCAAATTAATATTTTCGGCACACCTTAAAAAAACCAAAATCCCAAAAAGCAAAAACACAACCAAAATGACAATCCAAAGACAAAGCACCTTCTATCTCAGGAAAAGATGACCTGTGCAGATTCCTCGAGGGTGATATTTTTTATAGTTCAGTCCTTTATGAATAACTGTTGTTTATTAATAGTCTTTCTGTATTCTCTAAATGGATGCAATAATTGGGCTGAAATCTGTAATGAAATTCCTGTAAATATGTACATTTTTTTATATATGTAAATAAAAAAATTATCAAGAAAAGAGTGCCCTTGTCTCTTTATGACTGTTAACTTTTTTTCTGAAGACTGAATGTGCTTTTGAAGCTCTCAGTTCATGTTTCTTAGGTGGTGTATGCTTGAGCATTACTGAGAATAAGAGCACTGTTTGGGAGAGATGTGTGGCCCATCTGCGTGTGTGGGCTGTGTGCAGCCAGTTCCTGGATCCTACTGACCTTCTTCATCTTCGGTGTTGCAACTTCTTTTCTGCCGTTTGCTGTTGATGCAGCCTGCAGTAGCTTAAGTCCAGTCCTACAGTGCTTCAGACTGGGGATGCTTCCTTATGTCCTATTTAAAAATTATGGGCAAGGATTAAATGGTCAAACCATTTGAATGCATTCATTAATTGCTACAGAGCGAGGAAAGCTGGCCTTCCTTGAAACTTACTACTGTTCATTAGAAGTTTAAATGATCACAGAAGTCTTACTTGTGTGATGTTTTAATTTCTGCTGTCCAGCCACAGCTTGAACAAGGAAAAGCATGACAAGCAGAGCAAACGATGAGCAGGCAAACCAAGAGGTTTTCCCCGTCAGCTTGCTTTGTGTCCTGCAAAATTAATCCTGCGGTTGTCAAATCCTTGCAATGCGCACAGTACAGCAGGAAGAGTATTGACTCTGATGCAGTTTTTTGGTGTGCCAAAATCACTTGAATAATAAAACCATCCCTTCAAGACAACATCAACCCTTCAACTTGCATCCCTTTTAAAGAGAGTAAATACAGT